TTTGTTTTATAAGCTCTGTCAGTTTATCTATTGTAAGTATCGGTTTACTGGTTTGCTTTGTCTACTCCTGGGAAAAACGTTTGGACATTTTAAAAAGGTTTAGGCGATACAATTTAAATCCACTCAGACCTATTTTTATTTATTACATCCATTCAATGTTCCTCATACATGTAATACATGTCATGTATCGCAAAATCTATTAAGGTTACATGTCCAGCAGAATTCTACCAATATTTTAGAAAAATAAACCAAAAACTTAATGCCATCTTGGATGAAAGATTTAAGTTTAAAACTTAAAACAAAAATTGTTTCAGTATTTAATAAATCATTTAAAGGTTTACTCATTTACATATTTTTCTACTTCTATTGCATATTATTAACATTTCGTAAATAATGGTAACCAATATAACCGCCCTGCCTAAAAACGTGAATAATTAACTCATTATTCACGTTGTCAGGCATCAGTGATTGGCTGATTTCAATATACAATGTTATTTGAACCAATCAGGTTTTAAATTGGAAAAAGGTAAGGTTAACAGATGTCAGATTTGTTTATATATACGAGGGGCGACTATAATGATCTTTAAAATCGGGTACAAAAAGCATAGTATTACACTTGAAATAATGCGCATTATCTCTTGTATAATAATATACTATTATTTACACATATAACAATATCTATTATGTGAGTTGCCTTATCATATTGTATGGGTCAAAATAACTAGGTACGGTGGCAAATTTTGAACATTAAATTTCTAAAACAATTAATATAATTTAAAAATCTAATAACGATGGTCTGAAAAATTCAACACCACTCCTTGCAAAATAATCCACAACTTTTTCATAAAATTAAATTTTTCATATTTTTAATTTTTTAAGTCAAAAATACAATTCAAATTTACAAAAAGCAATACCTAATTTATTTTTTAACACCCATTTTATTTCTTAATTTTAAACGGTGAGCAAAATTTTACAGATTTACAGATTTCAGATAAAATATCAAATAAAATTGCCTTTAAATTCCTTGTGGTAGTTAAATAAAATATGTGTGCGACTAGGGGTCAAAATAGGAGATTCTATTCGCGTTTTATCCCACTCGTGAGGCAAGCTCCATGCTCGGGCAAAATATACTACACCCATTTAATTTCTTACTTAAACCGGTATGCATGATTTTGCTTCGCCCACGGGCTGAAGTTAGCTTTAAGCTAAAATTGGGTAAAGTTGAATAAAATGGTATACTATTTATAGATACATTAACGACTTTTTAAACATTTGTTTTCCTTGAATAACCAAGGTATGGCAATGGTATAAAGTATAATGTAAATAAATGACTATTTACTTCAAAAATAGGTATTTTATTGTTTTATAAATATTTTTATTTATATATTATACATGGGAAAACGTTTTTACAGCAAAAAGAAGTGTGTAATTTTAATGTTATAAAAAATAAAAGGTTAATATAAATCCAACAAAATTATTATTTTTACAAACATATTTAAAGAAAAAATTGTTTTAGAAGTAAAGCTTTATCTTGGTGATTTTGACCAAAAAATGCCAAAAATGTACAAGGTGTTCCAGAAGTCGCTCCCCACCTAGAAAATTGTTAAAAAAATCTACCTTTGTTATTTCAAATTTCGTTACTTTTTTTACGTCAGAAATTAATAAAACCATAGAATAAATCTATGAAGAAAAACTAAAAAAATATTAACATTAAATTGACTAATTAAATGACTTGCATTAGGGTGATTCATTTCCGCAAAGTTTTTGTTTATTTCGGTGCTCAAGCAAAATTTTAATCTGCATATAGAAAAAAAAATTCTAACCAAGTTTGAGCTCTTAATAGTAATTTTAAGTACTTACTATAGTATATATTTAAATTTAAAGTTTTGCCGTTTAAAATGCATGTTAAAAATATATTTTTTTTTCAAATATTTAATGCTTACCCACCTTTTACAATATTGAAAATCGGTTTGATGGACCTTGTGGGGAGAAAAAAGGGTTGACTCATAAAAAAAGTTATTCAACCAATATTAAATGAATACTGAAAAATTAAAACATAAGAAATTGATTATTACTAACTCATAATGTTATTTAGATTGATTACACTACACTACACTACACTAAGAACTTTTTTAAAATTATTATTTCTCACTCATAATGAATATGAAAACAACACATAAATTCATAAAAAAACAACAAGAATAAAATTGTAACCTGGATTTTGCAATTTCTCAACATTTCTGTCATATAGCAAAAAAATATAAATGAAGATTATTAAATTTTTTGAAGCAAAATTTGGAATATGTTACATAATAACGTAACCTTCTGTATATTCCGATTAAAGTTTTGTAGGTATTTATTTCATTTTTTAACTGCATTTCTGTGTTGAATTAAGATACAAAATGTCCATAGCTTTACCATATATAGCACAAGAAAACGCCTAGCAACTCCATTGGTGTACTCTAGCTAAAAGTATTAGTACACAGAGAGACACTGTTGCTTGGTTTAATTAATTATCTAATTTATAAGTCTCGACGGTATCTTCATTAAATTAAATAAAAAGAATTGGGGAAATTACGTTTGATAAATGTACATAATAAATTGCATTATTTTAATTTGATTGATACTTTTAATATTTTGTTTTTAAAACTAAATTGATTATAATCAATGTATACACCAGTGAATGTACTATGCTACACCCAAAAATTCCCACCACGTGACTTTGATACAAATAATTAAGGTTAATTTTCTGTCAGTTTCAAACTAATTCCGTCTTTTGTTCTAAAAATAATACAATATATGTATTTTTGTGTTCTAAATTAAAAAGTTTAAACAATATTTTCAAAAAATATGACAAATGACATTAGGACCATACTGCCCTACTATGGAGAAAGGCAGTAACTAGCATAAAATGCAAAATGCGTTTTGTGTTGAAAGTTTTAATAAAAAAAACTTAAGTACACACTCAATCATTTTTAAATTGTGGCAAGTCTACGTATTAAACAATCAGCATAACCCAAACAAAGTTTTCAAGCGCGAGATCGCTGCGACAGCCGCAGAAATAAATCGAAATTATGGAGGCACAAAGACTGCGGAAGCACTTAAACAAAACGGGGCCTTTGTTTTATGATTAATTCTGTCTCGCGCGTCTGAAGATTACTTCCCGTATAAGCGAGCGAATCCAATGATGGATATTTTAAGGGCCACCTCGGCGCGACAGGATGATCTTTTTAACGCAAATACGCAGCATCAGATCATTTTTATGGCTTGCTAGGGGATTTGCCCCGCGCAAATCCTCTTTATCAATTTTATTTTGGCACCAACTAAAACGATTCCTTTTGTGGATCGCAAACTTAATTTATTAGCCCACTTTATATCGTTCCAATAATAGGCGGCTTTACGCATGCAAGAATACAAAAGATGTTTGTGGAGTAAATAAATTGTTTGGTCATATTAGCAAGGGGTATAAGAATAAACAAACTCTCGTATTTATGCACTGAAAAAACAAATCTGTTTTATCAACCAATAAATTTTTTGTTGCAATTGTTCTTGTTGGTCCTAATAAAAAATTTGTTAACCCAAGTAAAGTGTTTAATACATTAGTATTTTCAACAAAAATGAATTTGTTGGAAAGAATTAGTTTACCCTACTGACAATATGCGTCGCCGCTAATAGGTATCCTTAAGTAAACATAACAAATATATTTTTGTTGTCAATTTTCGCCCAAAATTTACATGACGTGACATTGAAATTTATTTTATAAAGTTGACCGACTTGGTGCCATGGTTAAAGTTAAGTCTTGGTGTCATAGTGATTGAATAATAAAAAAATAATTTGTCAATGTCAAAAAATTTTTGTGCAAATGCTACAGGAAGCAGGTTCGCGTTAATTAATTTTTGTGCATTGGGCGTTATGGATGAAGGAGTAAACCAAATATTTTCTTCATTAGAAAATACTTTTTAGGTACCAAAATAATTTTTGTTAAAAAAAATCAAACAATATTAACCTATACCTACACAATATTGTTAATGCAACTCTTTTTATTAATTAGTATTACATACTGAAAGAGGTGCTTTAACAATATTGTGTAGGCAAATGTTATAACAACAAAGCAACAATGTTGTAGTTACTCATTACCATAGCTTTTCCAACAAATTATTTTGTTTTAAAAACAAATAGATTTATAATGAAAACAAATGCAAAAAGTTATAGAAACAAATAAATTATTACCTAAAACAAATGTAAACTGTTTTAACAACAAAATATTATTGTATGAGATATCAATAATATTAGTTACTTTAAACAAGACGACATAGTTTTGTCAACAAAAAATATTAGCTACAGTAACATATTATGTCTCAACAAAAAAAATTTGTTGTTGTAACAAAGATTTTAGTTGAGGCTATAGCTACAAATAAAATTTGTTGGCGCAACTTTTTTTTAGTTGCTTAAACAAATTATTTTTTTCAGTGTGGACTTATTTTAAAAAGGCAGTGTATTTAATAAATAATTTTAATTACTACTATATTCGTAATATATTTCAATAATTGATTTTCTTTGATTTTAAAAGTTTTAATACTAATAAATCAATATTTTATCAATGTTTTTTTTTATTTTATCTCAATCAACGTATAATTTTATTTTCGTTATCCGGAAAAATTTCTTTTTTGTTAATAATCAACGTCTGTCAGATGGGCTTTCCTTTTTGATTTACGCCCGGCTTGTCAGAAATTTCAAATAAAGGCATTTTATTTACTAACTAAAGAAGGCAAATAATATTCTTGATGGAATTTCTTAAATTAAAAAAACTTATTTCTGTTTGGTATGAGCTTTGTTCGATTGTTTCTTCTAAAAGACTTTAGATAAGAAAAATTTATTTCAATAGAGGTTAATAATGATGGTAAAGACAATACCTGCAGGTCTTCCAATTCAATAGAAAAAGTGCCTCCACTATTGATTCAAAATTCAGGTGGCGCTGTAATACGAGAGAGCACAGTAAAATGAACTACTACATACCCGGTAAAATGAACTACTATTTTCAAATTGGAAAAGTTTAAACTAATTTTTTTCTTATCTTAAAGCTACCTTTCACAAAGTCCTCGACGTTATAATTTCAGACGTATACGTCTGAAATTATAACGTCGAGGACTTTGTGAAAGGTTGCTTTAAGTACATAAAACACATAAATGTATGGGACCAAGGTTACGATGTAAAAATGTAGGTTTTATTAAGTAGTATTTTCACATATTTATATATGCAAGTTTATGTTAAAACATAGAAAGAGGTCTGTTTCACCGTGCTCTTTCGTCTTAATTTTTCGCCTTAATTTAATCAATAGTGGAGTTTCAAGACCAGTGTTTAGGACTGTAGTAAATAGAAATATTAAAAACAAACTTTTTAAATATGAAATAACGGGGAAAATAAAACATTACCCATTAGGGTGGTGCGAAATAGGAATATTTTTTAAATTGAAAACGCCTGTATATAGAATATTTGTAGGTGAAACATTTTGTGAATTTTTTAAATTTTTTAAATACCTTTTAGCGCCCCAAATCCATCTTAATTATAAAAATTATAATATTCAGACGTAGGTGGAAAACCGTTTAAAATCTTTTACAAGCCAAGATGTTTTTTTAGCGTAATTAACTTTTTAAAAATAAAGTAGGTACATAATTTAATTTTCAAAAAAAAACGTGCCCAGTTAATTTTAAAAATATAAATATTTTCTGCCGTTTTTTTTTAAAGTGTCCAATTATGTTCAAAATAAACATTTTTGGGACAGAAATATTTTTTTTAATTCCTTCCACTGCTGCAGAGCCATGGCAAACATAAAAATTATAATATTTGAGATGTTGCAAAAAACTGTAGTAATATAAATATATATTTTTAGCCAATTTGTTTATTTTAAGCATAAGTAACTTTTCCAAAGTTGAGCACTTTAATTTAAAAAAAAACATGCGAAATGGGCGGACCCCCACTTATATATTGAAATGTTTGTTATATAAGAAAAAACGGTCTGACATTAAATTCGGTGTTAATAGGACTCAAACTGGAACTAACCATTATGGTATACAAATTTTTAATTGTATTTCTCTAAAAATTAAAACTTTAGATTACAACAGATTTAAAATGGTTATAAATGAATATTTATTCTCCAAGGCATTTTATTCTCTTGATGAGTTTCTATGGATATATCCAACAATTTTTGTGATTTAAATGTGTGATGTTGATTTGTATATTATAGTTTTCTATTCATCTGACCTGTGCAAAGATCTTGTATTTTTTGGCGTTAATAAATTATTATGAGTATATGTAAATATTTCTATAAGCTTGTTTTTTTTTTTTAAATCAATGTGCCTATTTTTGAAAAAGTTTGCTCTAAAGGAATCTTGACTCCTCGTCTGAATTTTATAATTTTTATATTTAGTTCTTGGGCGGTGGAAGAAAAAAAAATTTTCACCAAAATATTTTTTATACACAAGTTATCAATTTTAAAAATATTCATATTTTGCACCACCCTAGTAACCATTGATGCGCAGAACACTAATCTCTGCAATATACAATCTTAAAGTCAATGCCAATTTATCATTTGAAATCCTACAATTTCCAATAACATTATGATTTACTTTGACAACAGCAATCGTTACTTTTATCACATCAATGAGAAGTGCCGGAAATATAGTGAAACCAAGCGACAAATTGGCAAAAATGAGTTAAGGGCACCAAGTGACAGAGGAGGGTCTAATTTACTTTGAGTGTATCAATCCAAATAGTAGAGCTACCCGAATTCCACCTTGTAGCCAACGAAATAAGTTTCAATTCCTTGTTGTTTATTCAAAAGAAACCTTTAGGAAAAAATACTTATGTATCTTCTTCTAATAAACTTTTAAAATAATAATATATTAATATCAGAAACCTATGCCAAAATAGCTTTTTACTCAATATTTAAAAAAACAATAAAATCTTTTTCTACTCCTATTATGCAATATGCAACTATTGACTTCATTTGGGTATAACACCGGGAACAATGAACTCATTATTTATGTTGTTGGCATAAGTAATTGGCCGATTTCAATATTCACTGATTTGAACCAATCGAGTTTTAAATTGTAAAAAAGTAAGACTGGAACTTTCTAACAGATTTTTTTTTATATATGGATAGCGTTTATCGAAAAGGAACCAAGCGCACAGAAAAAAACGCTAGCATAGCATGAATGGGTGAGCCATTAAACCAATGGGATCTTGTAATCCGTATTCCTGAATAACAGTTCCTATAATACCAATAGGTAGTTAGCACTTGGTTTATAATCGTTTACTGTTTTTAAATTAACAACAAAAGTTATCGCTCCTAAATCTATTGATATTTATATTGATATTTATTTGATTTTATGTTGAAATGTTATTGCATTAAATACTAATTTTATGTGCTCCAAAAACTTTTTCTAAACTAATTTTTAATGCTGCTCAAAAAATAAATAATGAATTGGGAACCTTTTTAATCCTTTTAATAAAAGTTTCAAACAATGATTAACCTTTTAAATAATATTAAATATGAGTTATTTTACAAATAATTTTACCAAGCCCAGAAAAAGTTTTTGGGGCTTCTCGATAAGCGTTATCCATATGTATACTGGGGAAAAGTGAGGATTGATAAATTTTGTTATTAATAAAAATTACTTAATTAAAGTGGAAAAAGCATAGTATCATCAGTAGTCATCCTCGGGAATAATAGCCTAACCCCCCTTTAATAATATACCTTTAACCTCAAATATGTCAAAACTTTTTTAAGATTTGATTGGTGCTTATCTGTCTGATTCTTGTAGGGATAGATATTTAAACCAATCATTTTATTCAATCACTATATAGGTACATTAAACTAATTCTATTATTCTTTCAGACACAAATTGTCCAACAGAGCCGATGATCGGCTCGCCGCCGGCTAACGACAGCAGTGAGATGTCGCCGAATTCAACTAATGGTGTATCGGTTGGCGGTGCGGCGGCAGTTGGCGGTGGTCGCAAAAGGCCGCTATTGGCTGGCGGTCCGAGAACATCCATGACCCCCACAAAACGAACGGTCATGAGCTTGTTGGCAAGAGCGCGAGCCGCACAAGCCAAACAGCTTCCCACAGCTTTCCAAAGAACAACACCAGAGTAAGTGTTAACTTAATTTAAGAAAATATCCCTTGTTATATATAAATATATATATGAATTGTTAACAATATCCTTTATCTGTGCAAGATTTATAGATGTGCCTATAGGCACTTTTATTAAGAAGCATAAACAACGGCAAATTGCGACTGATATATGCACTCTGTCGCCTAAATAACCACTAAACAACAAATAAAATGACACAACTGCTGAAGGCTGCTCGAAAAATAATAGGGCTTCATGTATATGTATATTAGAGTGGGTTGAATATCCGCTTTTTTAGAAATTAATTTTGTAATATCAAAATTATTAAGGTAAACAAAAATTATTTACAAAAAAAAATCGGTCAACATCGGCCAATTTCACTTAAATCTAAAAGTAAAAAAATATTTTATTAGATTTAAAAAATATTTTTTTTATTGTAAATTATTATATCAAATTTAATTCTCTACAAAATAGGTCCTTATTAATTATGGCATAAATATTGTGGATTTAGAGATAATTTATAAATTATTATTATAGATAATTGCGATTTTATCTTAAATTTTTAATTTTTTAAGTCGCAATTATCTCTGAAACTATAATATTTATGAGATAATTAGAAGGAAATTTTTTTTGGACAATTAAATTTACTAACAAACTTAATTAAAAAAATTTTTTTATAAAAAATATTTTTTCACCTCCGATGTTAACCAAAAAAATGTTTTCCTTTGAACATAATATTTTTGCTATTACCAAATTAATTTCGAAAAAAGCAGTGGATATTCGCCCAATCTAATGTATATAGAAAAACAAGGTAGCAGAATGGATTGCTGCCTGAAGATTGTAACAATAAACAATGTCCTAGATCTAAGGTGGGTTAAAGGACATAATGGTAATAAAGATAATAAAACAGCTGATGAACTTGCAAAACAGGGATTGGCGAACATGCTTTTAACAAAATCAACCTTTAAAGTCTATATAAAAAACTAACCCATGAAAAACAACTAATAAAATTTCAGACCAAAACTATAATTACTAATCCGAGTGACAATCTAGCTGGCCAAGTACAGTCTACAGCTATCTCGTCAAAAACCTTTCCGACCTAGTCGAAATTATAATGGGACGCTGTAGACTCAACAAACATCTATACACAGTAAGAAAAGTACACAGTTTTCTTACAAGAGCCTGGAGGGAAGAGAATGTAAAACAAAAAATTTATGAATGAGGTGCTCTTTTCGAATTCAGAAAATTTACTTTAGGAGAAGAATATTGGCTCTATCACTTCCGCTGTGTTTCTGGATTCCTTTTAAAAACTTGGATGTCTGGAAAAACTTTGACCAAACATAGTAGGGAAATGGATCCCGGAGGCAGTACAACGTGGCTACCCTGAAGTAGGGTGATGTCAGTGGATTGCACTTAAATATTTTTAAAGTTAAACTAATACATTAACATTAAATTTCTTTAGTGTTATATCGAAACATCATTTAAGAACTATTAGAACATTTTACCAAATCAAAAACAAAGCAGTATTTTGCCCAGAATCAAAAGCCTGCAAAAGCTCAGTCCAGTTTAAAACAAGGATTATTTTCTAATACGCTAAACACATAATTGGTGAATTTTGCAAACAAATATACAGATGATGATTATTATGATTATACAATATAGATTGTATGCTGCAATGATAGAGATAATATAGAAGAATAATTATAATTATTCTTCTATAATAATTACACAGCCACACAAAAAAAAAATTGTGTTCTGATCTGGGGGCCTGACCATATTTTCTATATATTTTTGGGGTCGCTGAATCCGAATCCGAGGTCTATTTAACCCCATCACATCAGGATTTTGCCATAACCTTAAAAACCCATCATATAAGCTATTACTATATATAACCCTGAGAATGTGGTTTTAATATAAAATTCCAAGCTCTTAAATATCACAACTTTATAACTCACATAACTCCATAACCCCATAACCCATTTAACCTCATAACTCAATGTACATCAACCACGTTTGTCAGATATTTAACTTAATATGTACGTTATTTTAATAACCGCATAACTTTAGTCTCTTCAAAGCTAAATGTCTGACATACGTAACTGTTGGAATTGATGTTGATGGGGTTAAATGGGTTACAAGGTTATGGGATTAAGTGGTTTATGGGATGGGGTTAAAATGGTTATTGGGTTTAATAGCTTGGGTTTTCAGATCACAATTTCATCCTAAGAATTATATGTTTAAATAGATGATGGGGTTAAGTGGGTCATGGGGTTATGGGGTTAAGTGAGTTTTAGGCTTATAGTGTTTAGGAGCTTGGGTTTTTAGACAACAACTTAATATTTAGGGTTATATGCGTTTAATAGCTTAAATTATAGATTTGTTGAGGTTATGTCAAAATCCTGATGTGATGGGATTAAATAGACCTTGGATTCGGATTCAGCGACCCCAAAAACATAAAAGAAATATGGTCAGACCCCCAGATCAAAACACAAAAAAAAATTTTTTGATCTGGGGGCCTGACCATATTTTCTATATATTTTTGGGGTGGCTGAATCCGAATCCGAGGTCTATTTAACCCCATCACAACAGGATTTTGCCATAACCTTAAAAAACCCATCATATAAGCTATTACTATATATAACCCTGAGAATGTGGTTTTCATATAAAAATCAAAGCTCTTAAATATCACAACTTCATAACTCACATAACTCCATAACCCCATAACCCATTTAACCTGGAATTGATGTTGATGGGGTTAAATGGGTTACAAGGTTATGGGTTTAAGTGGTTTATGGGATGGGGTTAAAATGGTTATTGGGTTTAATAGCTTGGGTTTTCAGATCACAATTTTATCCTAAGGATTATATGTTTAAATAGATGATGGGGTTAAGTGGGTCATGGGGTTATGGAGTTAAGTGAGTTTTAGGCTTATAGGGTTTAGGAGCTTGGGTTTTTAGACAACAACAATGTTTAGGGTTATATGCGTTTAATAGCTTAAATTATAGATTTTTTGAGGTTATGTCAAAATCCTGATGTGATGGGGTTAAATAGACCTTGGATTCGGATTCAGCGACCCCAAAAACATAAAAGAAATATGGTCAGACCCCCAGATAAAAACAAAAAAAAAAAATTGTGTGGCTGTGTTATTAAAGGTACATTTTAGTTTTATCTCTCCAGAAATACACCACCCATATGTAAAAACGGAGAAATATTTTTTTAAACTGGTATCTAAAATTAAGCAATTTCTATAGACTTTAGCAACTGGGTAAACTGGTAGGTAAGCGAATTAATCAATTAGGTATATACAAACTTAACTTTGTTTTATACACATTTATACGCCAACGGTGGACTAGTGGTTAGTGCTGCTAACTACAAGCCGGAGGGGACTTTAAACCCGCGGTCCGTTCCTACCCCTAACCCGCACAAGCTATTCAGTTGGCTTCTGGGATTTCTTAGGAAGTATTACTTCCGAAGTAAGGGTGGAACTAAAAGAGCACTTTTGTATATAAACTTTTTGTATACAAAAACTATCTACGAACTTAGCGTGTAGTTAGCCGAAGCCAATGTATTCAAGACGGAGATATGGTCGTAGTGGTCGATGAGAGCTCCCAGATCTTCCACCGTTGGTCGGGGTAGGTAGTAGGTATAAAATATTTAGAACGAGGCAAAAATACAAAAAATAAGTCTATTATATTTTTGGATTTAATTTATAAACACGATTATATTTCGTAAAGGAGTAATAAACCCAGGGATGTTTGCAAATGATGGGAAATTTTGCTAGGTGAAAAAAAATGCTCCGGGTACTAATATATTTACGATATAATTAAGGGTTTAGTCCCCACAAGACTATCTATCTGGGGCTGCCTTTGATTGCTTTTGAGCTACTCTTATGGTTTTTAATAATAAAATATTACCTTAATTGTTTAAAAATTCATTAGCTACAAAGTCATTCGGAGTGTTGATGTAACTTTCCTGCTAACATGGATACCTTAAGAAATTTACCAGGAAAGTAATGGAATTAAACATAAAAAAGATATTTCCGAACCTCGATTCTTCAAGTATTTAACGATTTTAAAATTTAAGTGCGTTCAACTTTATCTGCCAACCTACTTGATTTTAATTAACTTTTGATAAAGCTAACTTTTACTTAAAAATTGATTAAAAACAAATTTGCATGTTGGGTTTAAAATTACTCCTAGAAGGTTTACTTAGTGTAAACATACTCAGAACTAAAGTAAAATTTTGAATTGTTCTGCATAACCCCCATAAAATATAATTTTCTAATATTTATCCTTAAAGTTCTAATCTTAAGAATTACCACTTTCAATTTAATTTTAATAATTTGTTGCAAAATAATATCTTGCACATGTTTGTAAAACATAAATTGATTTTAATAAAACTTCAGTTTAGTTAGCGAGCAAAAAAACTATAACTAGGAATTCGAGCAATTTTCCTTAGTTACCATCAATTTATATTTCATACTGTCAGAGTAAAGAAATTGGACCAGAAGCTCGAGATTACAAGCAAGTTTGAAACTAATTTAATATTGCTTAGGATACGCTAATCTCGATGCAGTGAAATGACCCTGAATGTTTGTATACTCTTGTTTCTCCATCACATAATGTTTAATTGGTCCACAGCGCACTTTAACTGAGATTGATGAACCCAGCATCTGCCAGTAAATTTCACGGCAAAATTAAATCTTTGTTTAACAGAAACCTTAGTGTGTTAGTTTATTTCATTAGGTTTTTGGAATCATTTATTGCAAATAGTAGTAGTTATAAATTTGTTTTATAATTGATGATTTTAAATAAACAGAAGTTTTCCCATAAAACAACTTAGGTAGCTTTAAACTAAGCTTAAACTATTGTTATAACAATAATTGTTATTTAGCATATGAATCTTTATTAAAGTTTAACTGCAACTGAACTCGAATTGAACAACCAGGGTATATTTAATATTTGTTGCACTTTGCTAGTAGAGCTCGTCATTTATGGTTTAATTATAGTTGAGTTGATTTAGAACATACGTTTTATAATTGGTCACGTTAAAATGTATCCTGGTAAATTCATAGATTTATTTGTTTATTTTCAATTAACTGAAATTTTATTGATTAGACGTTATATCTAGCTTAACTTGTCTTTCTTAAGACAGTTATATCTAGAGACATCCTGTTACAAAATTTATCTAAAATTAAATTTTATGATTGTCATTCTTAAAGTATCCCAAAGCATCTATATTCAAAACAACGTTTATACAGCCACATATTTAAGGTTGACGTTCTTAAGGCTATGTCTAGCTCGAGTTGACATTCTTAAATATACTCGTAAATATTATATATAAATAAATATATTATTATACTAGAGATAATGCGCATAATCTCGAGTGTAATACTATACTTTATCTACTCCAATAAGTAAATAATTAAATGATTTTTAAAAATAAATAAATAAAACTGACTCTGTCAAATGATTAACCTTACTTTTTACCAATTTTAAATGTAAATATTGTCGCCTTCTTTCAATTTAAAACCCGATTGGTTTAAATCATAGTAAATATTGAAATCGGCTAATCACTAATGCCTAACAACGTGAATAATGAGTTCATTATTCACGTTGTTAGGCAGGGAATTCATAATGTTAATCATTATTCACGAAAAAAACCCAATATTATGCAATAGGAGTAGATTAACAGTCATACTTATTTAAGGTTTACATTTTTATATAGTAACAGCCTATTACTAAATGGGCCAAATTCTTATCAACAGGTCCGCAACCGTTTTATTTTTTTTCTTAAACTGCGGAGAAAAGTTTCTGTTCAGCGATAAAAATTGTGTATTTTATAAAAGGCTTCTCGTAAAGACTGCGATATTCACCCAAAAATGCAATCCATATATACAAACTTAATTTAATATTCTTAATACAGTTATATCTTACCAATAAGAATGACCAAACTTTAAAACATTACGTGTTTGAAAAATATTTTTGTCATTTTTTTTTTGCTTAGTAAAGGTTGCAGTTTCACCATAGATTATCCACAAGGAATACCAAGGAGCCTTATGGTAAGGCTCCTTGGTACCTGCTATGGTATTTGTTTGTTGTGTTATTTTTATTTACAAATTTGGATAGTACTTCGGATGACCTGGGTTGTTAATTTAAAGACATTGGATTAATTTGTTGAGACTTGATACACAAAATTACAAGTTTTTCCTCAACAATTCCACTACTCTTGATGTCTCTAATATTTTACACGTATAAATTACAGCTGGATATGCTGTATCGAGTGAATCAAGATATGAACTAATCACCTTGTATAAAGAGCATTGGTGGCCACTTGTATAAGTTTAGGGTGTTCCCCTTGGTAAACCCTATATAATTCCTTATAGGGGAGAGCATTGCCTATTCGGACTTTCTAAATTTGCCTTTATGATTGCTCTAATCAGGTCGGAGACAGTCCGCCAGCCTCCCGGGCTTTAGAGATTGATATCTGCTATATTTTCTTTAGAGATGCTTTTGGCATATTCTCTGGGCCTCTTTCATGGCTTCTATATGGCCAGATACGGCCTTGGTTAAGTAGTGATTCGTGTCATCCCATTATTTATTCACCCAGTGTCGGATGTCCTTTTTAAAAGTGCTCGTGTTTCCTTCGTATCCTGACCACCTTTTGTTCCAAGTTTCCTGCCTTGTTTGTGGGGCCTTATTGCTATATTTTAACTCTTTCCTCTTTTGCAAGGTCTATTGGTGGCAGGCCCGCGATGACCTCCACCGCAAACCCCCAAGATTGTTCGGTATGCGTAAGAGATACGGATGGATACTCCGTGATTAATCTTTTGCAATGGAATCGAGTACGCCCTGACTTTCATAGCTCTGTGCCAAATCCAGGTTGCATAAAGCACTATTATAATAGAGGTTATGACAATGGGCCTTCTTCTCCGAGAACTGGGTACTCCTATACATAATTATGAGCAGGGTGGTAAGCGCTATTAAGCACTGTTAGATCGTTCGCCGACTTTCTTTACATGTGTCGACATTTTAACGTTTAGCTGTATATTTTTAGTTCACCTTTACAAGGACCTCAATGAGCCTTCTGGGCCCGGCCAGTATTTCAGTTTTAGCCGAGGCAACCTTTATCATAAAGGCTTTATGTCTATGTCGTTCAAGGTCGTGATAATATGATTTTAATGCATACTTTGCCTTGTTCTCCAGACTATCTCTATTCCTTACTTTTACCACCAGTGCTAAGCCATCTGCGTAGCCTACTGTGTATACACCTTGCGCTATTTCCAGAATTTTGTCGTGCAGCACGTGCCACAGCGAGGATCCCAGTAACGATTCTTGTGGCACACCACTAGTAAGTGACACTTTTCGTCATCAATAACCTCCCAGTCAGATAGTGCTGCAGGAGTTTTGTAACTACTAATGTATGATTTTATTGCAGATATAAAAGGATGCATTAGTAGTTAGTAACAAAAGTTTATCTATATAGAAGGTTATACTTAAGTTTAAATTTTAAAGAAAATTATTGATATTCCCAATACAGTTACAGTTAAATAGACATAGGTAGTTATATTTAGCTTAAAATTAGTAATTTGTTAAAGTAAAGATGTCCAATATTGTTTGTAAAACATTTTTAGAAACTTAAATATTATGGTGGGCTACTTTTTATATTGAAAATACAAAATCCTTTTTTTATTTTAGAGGTGAAAGTTTATCGTTACGACAAAAATACTAAATAAGTTTTTGCTTTAGAATTTGTTTTTACTGTGTACAATTGCTTATTTTTTTTAAGAACGCACAATTGTGGACAAACCCTACATACCTATTTTGATTAAAACGCGATATGTAGAATCGTATTTTAAAGAAATGTATTAAATCCTAATCATTTTCAATTTACGGTTTTGAAAAGCATGACATGATATTAATATTATTTTAATAATTTAATTATTTAAAGTGTTTTTTATTGTTCCAGGCGCACACCAACTTTGGTTCCACTACTAAGAGAAGATTATATTACAGGAGCCGTCAACCTTAATCTAATTTAACTCTAAATAAATTCAATCTCAAATGAAATTATCTTGGATACGATTGTGTTTTTGTTTGGTTGGGGCGGCTTTTAAATCAAAATTAAATTATCTTTTAAAAGCCTTGCTTAGTTAAGGATTTTTTTTGGATTTGTAGGTTAAATTAAAAACACAATGCACATTTTATTTACAGAAAGGCATGTGTGGAAGTGGATGGTAGAATATCAGTTAATTTATATTCATTACTTTAGCCAAACCCCACTGACATGTAAATTTGCATTTCCTTTTAAAAATCAACAAGTTGGCGGTGGTATCGCGGCGGTGATTCATTTTTAAGGTAATCACTCAAAATAAAAAGCTACTATAAGCTGCTATAAGCGAAGAGTTAGCTACAAAATCTTGCAAATATGTTTTAAGCGTATAATTTAATTTTTTAATAAAATATATTTACCTATACAATAATAAAGAGTGTGTCAGTAGAGTCGTGGTGTTCTATTCAATACACAATCGCAACATGTATACTTCGTATTTAAATAAAAATATTTTATCTTCAAGCGCTCTATAATTTCAGCTTTACGCTCCCTACTAAAGAATTCGAGTATCTCATAGGCTGCAAAAATAATTTAGACCAATCAGGTTAAGTTTTTTACGTCCTAGTCTGTAAAAAAACAATAATTGCTGACATCTATGAAGCTACCTATATAAACTGAAAACACAGTACCTACGAAAAAATTTGATTTTTTTCCCTCCCATGAAAAATTCCTATATATTTTGAAAATAGGCTTAAAAAAATGATACCCGTGTCTCGGCGTTTTAGATATCGATTTTAAATTTTTAAAGCGTTTATAACCCAATTAAGCCTATTTTTCTTCAATATTTTAAACTAAATTCCGCTTCCGGTTTGACCGGAAGTGACATTAACTTTGTTATTTTAAATATAATACCCCATATATTTTTACATTTTTAAATTCTACTTAGCATTCTGAGTAAAATTACTGTACTATGTCCTACACCTAAAGTGAATAGTTTTCGAGTTAAAATTTGACAAATGCGCGTCAATCATAAATAGCCTATAACTTTTTTGCTATTAGGTTTGCGAAAATGGGGGTGGAATTTTTGGAGTATTAAAACACTGTTTAAAAGATTCCATATCAATTATTTTACCGTCAAACCGGAAGTGAAATTTTGTTCAAAATATTTTTAAAAAACTTATAAACGCTTTTAAATTTTAAATCGATATCTTTTTCCGTTCCGCTAAAACTTCCAATGGACCCCGAATGTAAAACACCCTGCATATCAAGTGGTGTTTTTTAGGATGTGATACCACTAAAGATTCTCAAGCAATGTATAATCTTTAAACTAAAAGATCAAGATTTGTTTCCAACATATATTTAATATAAGATAAATACAAATATGTTGTTTTATTAAAAAAAATTAAAACCAGAAATATTTTTTTTACTTAAAAGGAAAATTTAAAATTATTATTTTCTTTAAGTATAATTTTTATGTAAAAACATACAATATCTAAGGAAAAAAATGATTTATAACAAAATAGAGAATTAAAAATCTGTATAGGTTAAAATAACAAGAATGGCTGTATACAAAATTTAAATGACGTGATTTCGTGAAACGGTGAGACACGGTCACGTTTTTTTAACCTTTATTTTGAAAATCTGTCAAAATTTTTCATGGGAGGAAAATCCTGTTTAACTGAGTAATAATTGTAATTATAATTGTAAGTACGTTTTAGGTATTGTTTAACAAATAAAACTGTGCCTTGAAGATAAAATGTTTATGCAATTCGGCTGAAAAGTGTCTTTTTGTGCTCCTCTCAATTGTAGGCCACCGCTAACGAGTCGACCTTCAAACGTTGAGCTAATAAGATTCATTTCTCAGCCTTATGCCATGTTGTTCTATTGAAAAAAGTAAGTTTTTCCTTATTAAAACACTACTTGTATGATTTGATAAAATCCGCCCATAACCACCAACATAATCCGTTTCACGAGGGCTAATTAAAAATGTATTGAAAAGATCCACTGGGTATTTATATAATAAAAAGGCTATTCTTAATTAGTCCTTAGGTTCAAATATGCTAATTAAACAGGCAAGATTAAATTTATGGAAAATGGCGATGTACCGTGTACATGTCTTACGGCTGGTTAAAAGTACTTTCAATTGATGTTTGGTGTACAGGTCTGTATTCGTAAGAATATATGTATTTTTTTACTCAAAAATTGCAGATAAAATCAGTTTATTTTATGAGAAATTTTAGCTGAATTTTAACATATCACAAAAATAATTGTATAAGTCTTATTTAATAATTTAATTTAAATTCTCACTGGTCATAACATTATTGTATTATTGTACCTAATATAATTTTATAAATCTAATAACTGTAACAACACATAATTATATATAAATTCAGTAAACAAATCTATATCTGGTTAATAATACAGCTTATTCTATATTGAAATTTTAATCGCCATATATTATTGTTAAAAATTTAATCTTGTAAAAAACATGCATCAATTATAAAAAATGCACGGACCAATATGATTATTTTTAATCAAACACAAAAAATTATTAGTGCAATTTTATCTTTATTAAAATTTCTATAAAATTTAGATCACAACGAAAATAAATTAAAAGGTTTTCATAAAAGGCATTACCTTTGTTAAATTAAATAATTTTAAATGTAGGTATACATTGAACTTTATGTATGTAGAGTTAATGATAATGGAGTGTTTGGGATTTGTTTGTAAATACGCATATTATAATATATTATGTATTTTAAATTAAAACAAAGTTTGGATTGAATTTGTGCTAGTGATATCGCAATCAATAAAGCAAATATTTCCCTTAATTGATTTTAATATTAAAAACGCGTAAAAATTTATAATATATATATATATATAATATATTTATATATTTTGACTACCTGAAATGTAATGCTCAAAAATTGTCATCATAATTACAAACACTCTGTATTCTTAAATTTGTTTCTGTTAAAAATTATGTGTTACAAAGCTTTTCTAGGACATATCGTTTAGGATAAATTATGATTATTATTATATAGACTAAAAAATTTGATATTCTACATGTAAATTTTCTTTAAATAAACATAGTTGCCAAATTAGTAATAATTAATTGTAGAAATATTTAACATAGATATGACAATGGCTTTTATATATTGTCATTTGATTATTATACTTATTAAAAGATTTTCGTGGTCACTGTGTTTTTAAAAAGTAAAATTTAAAATGTTAACTAATTCTAATTTTTAATATAACTTTTAATCGTTCGTAGACTAAAATTCAATTTTAAAAACGGTGTACCTATGTCATTTAAAGGTGTGCTTGCAATTATTACTCTAATTATATAGCACTGTAATACCTAAGTTCTTCACTATAATATAATAATGATAAATATTAAATAAATTAAATAATTAAAATATTATATAAATATATGTATTCTATAATAAGTGTATAAATAAATGTAAAAAAATCTAGTTTTTTATTAATATTATCTTCCTTAAAAGGGTTACACTATACCTAGGTAAGTTATTTTAGTTAATAAGGTTTTTCGTCATAAAAAGCACTTAAAATACCCAAACTGATCTCCAGATTAAACATATTTAAGTTAAGTATGAGTATGAGTATGAGAGACGTATAGCTGGCCCCATCAGCGTCATAAAGTAGCAATCAAGAACTTAACATTAATTTAATTAAAAAAAATAAAACTAAACATTGAATTAAATTAAATTGATTTAAGAAAATGATAATATTATTATTCATTATTCATAATACCATTTTCTTACATCAATTTAATTTAATTCAATGTTTAGTTTTATTTTTTTTAAATTAAATTAATGTTAAGTTGTTGATTGCTACTTTTTTCAAATGTATGTATGTATTTAAAAAAAAAATTCCCCAAAAAGACATTTTTTTAACGCCAGGTTTTTTCCCCAATTTTTTCGTTTTTTTTTTGACACATTAAAACCCTTGTATAAGGGTAGGTATAAATATTTTAGGACCCAGCTTTACCATAAAATATAAAATGCTTAAAAAAATACCTCGGAGATTTTAAGTTTCTAATTAATAACATGCTATGAAAAAATATAAAGTTAAAACTAAAAAAGATTTTTAATATTTTGGTCTCGGGAGCCCCTAGCAGCAATCCATCAGAATTAGAAAAAAGGTTATAATTACATTAAATAATGGTTAATCTTAAACTGCCATAAGTGGCCCCTTGATTTTTTAAATTTAAATTATTAACAAGTTCAAATGTAAGTATACTTATAAGTTCGCTGGAAAAAGCTTGTAATCAATTTTCATATCCCTTATTACTAAAGATGGGATATTTAGGTACTAAAAACTGAAAAATAGGTAACTAAAAAGGTACTAAAAAAAGCATTTTAGGTTAAAAAAACAGCATTT